GAAAAGCACAATAGACATGCTTACGTCTCTTTCTTAATGGTTCTATTAGGCTGCTGAAGCATAATTTAAGAGAGGTCAAATACACAATTTGTGCATATTTTCAGAATTCAAAAAGTGAGAGTCATGGACACATAACCCTTAACTCTTTTGAGCATTCATAACTTCAGCTCCAACATTTCCATGGCAACTACATATCGAACATCTCGGCAAAGGTTAGGCCATCAAAGCTAATGACTTAGCTTTATGATGTATAAAACCTTTGCAAAGACATATATGAAATGTTTTTTGAAGCTTTTCAAGATTAAATTGTATAAATGTATATTTAAACACAACAAAAACATCTCACATTACAGATTAGATGACAAACTGTACATGTTCTAAAGCTTGGTTCACACTACCAATTTTGTAGTTGATTTTCTATTCTTGATGGATGCAAATGTGTGAACTTGCACACAAAACTATAGAATATTTTATTGCTATTCAGAAATATATATTTCTTAGTCTAAGTAGGGCACATTGTGGCTCAATGGGTTAACCTAGAGACATGGTCAGATTTTTTGGTAAACCATTGAGCTGCAGAGCTTCCCCATTGATGAGTAAAATTGTCTGGTGTTAGATAGTCTGGCATAATGGAAGTGAACAGTTTTGTTCATGATGTATGATTCCAATAAAAACTTGCTTTCTGTTAAGATAGTAAATTATTACAAATGTTGACAGGTGACAGATATATTCATCAGTGGTATGTCTGTTACATCTGTACATCCAAAATGGTCATAAAATTTATATTTATTCAACCTTCACCATATATAATAATATTAATATTACTAGGGGTGGATCCAGCATGATCTGGTGGTGGGGTGCTCTGCCAGCTCTGGTGCCGAGTTGTGTCGGTGATGTGTGCTGCCCACCCATCAACTTGCTTCGCTACTGCAAAGTCTTGCTTGACTACTGTATTTGAATTGTAATTGTTCACAGTTCGCTTATCATCATGTTATTACTCAAATTACTGTATCTCATTTTGTCTCTAATAATTTTTTGTTTTATCATGAAATATAGCAGAACCCCCTGCACCCCCTCTGGCCAGGGCTAGGGGGGTGCACCCCCTCTGGCCAGGGCTAGGGGGTGCACCCCCCCCAGTAAATCGACCCTGAATATTAATAACAACATGGATACAATACATACATTACATTATAAATATATAATACTACTGTATACTAATGACAATTGCTGTGAAAGCACCACAACAGTTAAAACCAATTACTGTGGGCCTTTTAACAACAAACGTCTAGAAACAGCAGTTAATAACATAGTTCAAACGTCGACAACCTTTATAGTTTAAACATAGATTTCCATGTTCTTGCATCCTCTGCATCAATGCAGGGCTTTCGAGTAATAGTCTCCTAACAATCTCTTAAATGTATTTGTACTTTAAGAATGTGTTAGGTTCTCTTAAGTCTGCTGGAAGACAGTTTGTTACACATGAGAAATACAAGCTCTGGAAAGTGCTAGACAAAGTCCTGCTTTCTGTGGGTGGAAGGATAAAATGTTGGTACCAGATGATCTGGTCATTCTTGTGGGAATTATGGGTTTGGGGACAACATCTTCAGATATGTCCACCATACCATTAACTGAAATGTCTTTGGGCTATCCTTCAACCAACTTGGCTACCAAGATGTATAGATCTCATATTAAATCTGTAATGCAATAATACACATTTCCTTTGTCCTGAAGTGTTGCACACAAATACGCCATGTTTTATGAATGTCAAACAAGCCATGAACCCAACTGACTCAATATTGTAAAAATTAATTTTGGGTGCCAATCAGCCCAATGAAATAATCTCTTCTTTCCGTGAAATCAGTCCATTCCTCATACTGGTCATTGCCTCATTGGGTTCCATCAGCTATATACAAGACACAAATAGATAAATTTCAAGTACAATATTAAAAACATCGACAATAGCGTTTGGTTGCCTGCTGCAATTTTAAATACAAGAATAGAGTTTCCTTAATAAAGCTCTAGAACTCAGGCATTGTCTTCAGTGCCATCAGTGATATATTTAATATATTAAATATGTCATTGCAAATTGCAGAGAAATTAACTTACAAAGACTTTTCTCGTGACTAAATACAAAGCAGTTAGATCTAGTGTAATGGTTCAAACATTAAATGAACATTCCCATGCATAAAATTGTCAAAGACAGTTATAAAACTTACTTGATTCGAAAACGCTTGAAATTCATATAATTGAATCGATTATTGTTCGACACTCACGCCCGTTTTATCCAGTATAAATGCGCGGAATTTCATCCATTACACCTTATTATCATTTAGAAATGTGTGTTCTTTCATCCCCTATAATTTTTATGGCGATTCGATGAAATTTGAGCGTTTTATTGAAGTTTTCTTGCATCGACTCGGTGTTTCGCCATACAATTTACTATTAGCTTGCTGCGGTTTTACTTGCTAGGAAGATGGCGGACCTAACGCATGCGCAGTGGAAAAAAGGTGCCATGTCGCACACGAGAGTGGGACTTCTGTATAGGTCCTTATTCTGTGCCCACAACCTAACCCGCGAACAGGCATACTCTGGGAACGAGATTGAGGTTGACCCAGTGAACTCAGAGTGAACTGTAAATAAGCGGTTATTTACAGTTCACTGGGTTGACCCAATGGGTTGACCACCAATTTCCATACAGTTATATCAAAGCAGTCAGTGGCACAGAGAAATATTATTACTTAGTAAAAACTGGCGAGTTGACAGGGTTGCAGACCGTTTCGGCCCGCATAGCTACTTTAACGTACACGCTTATAATTTGCTTAGGCCTATATAGCAATGAACGTATCTTTAATGCATGATATTTGCCATATTAAAAGTTGGAGAAATGGGAGAACTACAGTGTAGCCTCTTCACAAAGTGACTCAAAACAAATGAAGACACAATGATCATATTATTTTATAACATCAAATAAATAATAGGACATTGCAGACCTGCCAACCCTTGAGTAGCAGAAATAGTGAGTTGCTATCTAAAAAGTCGTGAGATTGACTGAAAAATCGTGAGACTTAGAAATTTTCAGGTTTGCTCATTAATATGACCAGGGTTAACTTTAACAACACTACAAAATAATCAATAGATATTCAATTTTATGATAGTATGCATTTATATTTTGTTAATATAACCATAAATGCAAGGCTTATTAAAATTAGGCTGTTTTTTCTTTATGGCTTTAGTAGTTTCCACTGTACAAAAACAAGAAAACTACGAGTAATATTACTACTGGCAGGACAATAACCTTAGCAGGACACGCCTTTTACTTTGTCAACAAACATCACGCATACAAAATTCTGGCGTTGTACATTGCGCATTATTAATACACTAATAAAGTGTGATGTTTCCTTGGAAGAGTGTGCGTTATTGTAACTAGATGTTGCGCTCTTCGATTATTTCATAAGTTCCGAAAATCGTGAGATTTGGGGACTTAATCGTGAGATCGTGAGAAAGCATAAAAAATCGTGAGTCTCACGATTAAATCGTGAGACTTGGCAGGTCTGACATTGTGACACTGATCCGTTATCTTTATCTAGTTCTTTAAGTTCTATTTAAAACATGCGTAGGAATGTGATATCGAGTCGTATATAAAAAGTCGGAGGTCGTATTTTACAAATATTTTATGGCTTTTTTATTGTCGAGGGTAGAAATTCGAGAGCGAAAAACTTGAGGGTACATTTTAATAATTTAACAAAATAATAATTTTAGCTCGTGTTCATTTACTTTATTTTAGCGCTTATTTTTATATGCAATTATTATTTTTTTATATGCGATTACTTTTTATATGATAAAATATTACCACATAAAAATAGACGTGCCGATCAAAAGCTACAGTCGAGATAGTTTCAAACCAGCCTCGTCCCCAGGCGCTTTGATTTGCTGCGCCGTTTCGTGAGGGATGCAATCCAGGGGTCGGTTGTATAAAACTCTTAATCATTTTTTTTAATCACTATTTTGTAGTTAAATAACAGTGATTAACTCTCAAATACGCGCTTCTTATTGGATGACGTTTGCACTTAATTATAGTTAACTTTAATAATTTTTTTATACAACCGGCCCCAGGGCCGTCCACTGATTGCGTTGGAACCCGTGAATCCTGGGGACGAGGCGGCTGATCTCAAACGGGCGTGCATTCTCGTACCCAGAGTCCTTCTTACGCGCGGTGCGACGAGGGGCTCTGGCCAAATCCATATCCGAACTGGCATCTGATTGGCTAGTTCTAACACCGGATATTGTTTTTTTACCATGTTTTTATGGTATCCGGTTATGGATTTGGCCCATAGATATAGGAGATCTAGATTGCTAACGCATACCTAGCGCAGGCGGGGCCTACATGATAAATCCAAGATGGCGGTACAAGAGGGCAAAAAGACTATAGATTCTATTACGAAAATCAAGATTTTTGCATTTTTTTGCCGTCGCATTGTTTTGAAACTTATTCGGTCAAATTTTATGGTAAAGAGAAACGTACCGCGAAGATTTTGAGCATATATATGATTGAATTGGATGAAAACTCGCAAAATTATCCAGCGATAAAAGTTCGTGTGAAATGGTCAGTTGGAGCGTTTTATTGCCAGAAATACTGTGCTATGTTAACATCTAGTCTTGTGAATGGTGTTTTATACTTGCATCTTTCATCATCATCTACTCTGTCCTCATAATTATGAAAAATGAACTGTTATGTAACAGTATTGTTAGAGAAGTAAACTGATGAGAGCACTGGATAAGGGTCTATCATCTATGGTCTGTTATAATTTGCTTTCTATGCAAATAGTGAGCAAAAATTAAAGCAAAACTGTACAAGTTACATATATAGTACTATATCAGTACTATACACGAACTTTTATCGCTGGATAATTTTGCGAGTTTTCATCCAATTCAATCATAAATATGCTCAAAATCTTCGCGGTAAGTTTCTCTTTACTATAAAATTTGACCGAATAAGTTTCAAAACAATGCGACGGCAAAAAATGCAAAAATCTTGATTTTCGTAATAGAATCTATAGTCTTTTTGCCCTCTTGTACCGCCATCTTGGATTTATCATGTAGGCCCCGCCTGCGCTAGGTATGCGTTAGCAATCTAGATCTCCTATATCTATGATTTGGCCAGAGCCCCTCGTCGCACAGCGCGTAAGAAGGGCTCTGGGTACGAGAATGACGGGCGTGGTGCATTATCTGCGTTGTCTCGGATTGCATGTCGCAAATTATATAGACGTATTGTCTATTCACTATATGGTCAACTGAATCAGAGTAATATCAGGAGCTTGTTTACACCTTGCCATTGCCGATGGCTGCTGATAACTCCATGTTACAACATTAAGCAAATTATTTTGCCCGCAAATTTCTACCCTCGACAATAAAAACCATAAAATATTTTAGAAATATGACCCCGGACATTTTATATATGACCCTCGACTTTTTAATATGACCCTCGACTCTTTATATATGATTTTTTTGACCCTCGACTTCCCACCCTCGACCCTCGAGAAGAAATCCTGAAACTGAATTACTAAAAATAGCTAACGTTAACAAACCACATTTATCAAACACGCAAAAAAATTAATTAAAAAGAAATATATTCTCAGTTGTCTCATATAGTTAATTATCAACACTTTTTCAATACATGACAGTAAGTTCATAAGACACTATAAATCATAAGTTGTTATCATCATCGATAACAACTCCAAGCGGCGACACAAATATATGGCTTCACGATTTCGATACTATCCCAATACTGACGCATCTTTCAACGTGGAACGGAATCCTGGTCCTTCCAAATCGAATAAAACGAACACGTCAGAAACAAGAATTCAGTCTCTCACGTTTGTTTTGCAAAATGTTCGAAGCATTAAATCCATGTTCAACTTGACTACACCAATTCTCGAGAGAATAAGTTATCCTGCTTTCAAGATATTGTATTGGCTAATCAATTTGACGTGATCGCACTTACTGAAACTTGGTTACACAATTCTGTTACCAACTATGAACGGTTATTCCAAACGGCTACCAAATAATCCGAAGAGACCGTCAATCTGGAAAGCGTGGCGGTGGTGTATTGCTAGCAGTGAAGGATACTATTGCTACAGAACCTTTCACGTTTAACTGTGGATCCCTTGAACATTCGAGTGTTGTTATTAAATCTTTTTCCAAAAGAGTTCTTGTTGCTGTATGTTATAGACCACCTGACACAGATGATGTTTTTCTTCTCAATTTGAACAACTTCGTGAAATCGGCCATCAACTCCAATATCAAGGATATTATCTTGCTCGGCGATTTCAACTTTTCTACCACCCAGTGGACAAACGGCTCGGGATTTGCTGACTCGTCAAGTGGGACCATCTTTACGGACATGCTGCAAGACAATAGTTTCTTCCAACTTGTAACCCAACTAACCCGTGGCTCAAATATACTCGACCTAATCCTAACCACCAACGAAAACCTAGTTGAAAACATCGAGGTTACAGATGATGAAACTGTCTCCCTCCAATCAGACCAGAAAGCGATTTTGTTTAACCTCCTCCTCCACACAAAACCTAAGAAGTCAGCTAAGAGAACAGTTTATAACTACAACAAAGGCGACTTTGCAGCTCTTAGAGAATCATTGAAATTGTTGGCGTTGACTGATATTGTTCTCTGTGAGGATGATATTGATATCGCTTGGTCAAAATGGTGTGACACCTTCCTTGCTGCCGTAGACACTTTCATTCCAAGTAAACAAACCTCCCGATCCTATACTCCACCCTACTTCACAAGCGAGATAGTTCACCTCCTGCACCAGAAGGAAACTACGAGAAAACGGGCAAAGAAATCGGACTCGGTAGAGCTATGGGAGAAATTTCGCAGTGTTAAAAGTCTAATCAAGACCAAGAAACGCGAATATATCAAAAATCTGGCAGAAACATTACCAACAAACCCCAACGAATTTTGGAAATTTTTTAAATCTAAGTCAAACGTACAAGTATTCAATACCAGATACTATGACTCTTGCTGATTCGTCTTTTACCACCTCGACAGCTAAAGCAGATGCTTTTAACAAATTCTTTGCCTCCGTGTTTCTTCCTCGCCCCGACAATCCATGTCTTCCAACTCCTACCATGGAATTCGACAACTCAACCGAGTTCACTCCAGTTTCCATTGAAGAAGTCCTCAGTCTATTATCTTCGTTATCTACTGCGAAAGCTACGGGTCCAGATGGGATATCTGCGAGATTATTGAAAGAGTGCGCTGACGTTATTGCTCCATCCCTTACTGAACTATTCAACAAGTCCTTAAAGTGCCTATGCAACGAAATTTTCACCTCATTTTTTATTGTTTTTCTAAAAAGTACTGCTGGAGTGATGAAGAATGACGTTTACAGTTTCGTCATATCTCATCTCATTCTCAAGTTATCGCACTTTGTATATTTTGAGTTGTGACGTCACAAGTATGAGTTGAGATAATGGCAATAACAAGAAAGTATGATATCTTGGTGAGTATTTAATACAATTTAATGAAACTTGGTACACTTAGTGGGTGCAACAAAGTCAACCATTTGACTTGTTTATACGGTTGTTACGGCAACACACTCGTCCCCAGTCCCTTCTCTTCCAATTTATATATGATCTATTTTCAACGAAATAAATAACAATTTCTACAATTTTCGCTTACTACTATAATACGTGTAGGTATTGTGATCAGTTTATACAGTTAAAATATGTAAACATCCTCTGCAAGAGGTCTACGGGAGGAAAGTTGTGAAAGGAAGAGAAGAGACTGGGGACTAGTGTGTTGCCATGACAACCACATGACCTACCCAAAATATTCATACGAGTGTACCCACTAAGTGTACCAAGTTTCATTAAATTGTATCAAATACTCACCAAGATATCATACTTTCTTGTTATTGCCATTATCTCAACTCATATTTGTGACGTCACAACTCAAAATATAGAAAGTGTGATAACTTGAGAATGAGATGAGATATGACGAAACTGTAAACGTCATTCTTCATCACTCCAGCAGTGCTTTTTAGAAAAACAATAAAAAATGAGGTGAAAAATTCGTTGCATAGGCACTTTAAAGGCCTTGGGTAAGGTTCCTACAAAGTGGAAGTATGCAAATATCGTTCCAAAACCAAAGAAACTCGCGTCATCAGCATCTACCGCCCAATATCCTTACTATCCCTTGTGTCTAAAGTCCTTGAGCACGCGGTCCACGCCCGAACCCTCTATATCGTCAAACCTCTACTCCACTCCCAACAACATGGCTTTCGTGCAGGAAGATCCTGTATCACCCAACTACTCGATGTTGTACACAATATTGGCAAGGCATTAGACTGTGGAAGAGAAATTGACATGATATATATGGACTTTTCAAAAGCGTTTGACTCTGTTCCCCACGATAAACTAATTGTGAAACTCCAACAATTTGGAATAACAGGACGGCTTTTGCACTGGTATAGCGACTATTTATTGGGACGAAAACAACGTGTTGTAGTAGATGTGTTTTGTCGAGCTATCTTGATGTGACATCCGGAGTTCCACAAGGAAGTATTGTCGGCCCCCTACTCTTCCTGGTCTATGTTAACGACCTCCCTGACGCTGCTGAATACAGCAAAGTACCCATGTTTGCCGACGACAGCAAATGTTATCGAGTCATAGAAACGTCACATGACACTCAACTCCTTCAGTCCGATCTGCACTCCCTTTGCAATTGGTCCTCTACCTCAGAATTGAAGTTTAATCTCAAAAAATGCATTGGAATCAGATTCTCCCGCAAACGTTTAATTGAGTCACCCGAATACAGTTTAAACCACGAACTGATAACCCTTAAATCTTCTCAAAAGGACCTTGGCATAATAATTAGTAACAACTTAAAATGGTCACCTCAGATAAACAATATCGTGTCAAAGGCAAATCAGATGCTTGGTTTTCTCCGACGTAACTGTATCCACCTGACTGATATGAAATGTCGACGCTCACTCTATCTGGCACTCGTGAGAGCTCATCTGTCTTATGGAAGTGAACTTTGGGCGCCTCAATCAACATCAAAGGACCTTCTCCGTATCGAAAGTGTTCAACGACGAGCGTCCAAATACATACTTCAAGATTACCACTCTTCCTATGCTGACCGACTGAAACTTCTTAACCTTCTCCCTATTTCGTACTGGTATGAGATCCTCCACCTCTACTACCACACTCAAATATAAACTGAAGAACTATTACCGGGTCAAACTTGAAACACTCTTTGACGTTGATCGTCCGAGGACATGGAAAACCATTTGTTCTAAATGTCGCTCTTGTTCTATTACTTGTTGTTTATGATAGTTGAGAGCGCTCCAAGCTGTCTTTGCATTTCCAAAATGCCTTTTGTTTCAGTCTGTTTGAATAAATCAAATTAAACTCCCAGAAAAAACAACACCCGGGCAGTCTACTAGGGACAGCTTGGAGCACATGCATGTTTAGGATGTTTACTGTATTCTGTGACTATGTCTGTGCTGCACAATGTTGAGTCATCTATATGTATACATTTTTTTTTCTAACTTGATCATTTTCCAAACCTTCTTTGCAAATTTCAGGTCTCTTCATTTTAAGGCAGTTGACTTAGAAAGGATTGCAATATATGGGTGGTCCATGTCTAGTTCATATTAACTTTGGAAAGTGTAAGGATGGTTTGGAACGCATTGATCGTGTGTTGTAATTTTGTATTGTAGCTTTGTTAAAGTTGTAACCTGTCTCTATTGTTTAACAATGTCAATGTAATGTGTAGGTAGGACTTAATTTGGGACTCCTCAGTCCTGTTGTCTGTGTTCTGTACCTTCAATAGTTTTGTTGATTGTAAAGTTTATAAATAAATTATGTTGATATTTTGTTTATACACTAATACAGATTGATTATTGTTTTAATTTGCTTCATGTAACGCTTAAGTTTCTTATTATCAAACGTTTAGATTGTTTAGGCATCCTGGTAATGATTTTACTTTAAAACCAAGACAATGCAGCAGTCGAGAGCGATTTTTAATACTCTATAAATATAACATGAAACTGTGTAATATAGACGTACTAGTGAATCGGCCCTTTTGTCTAACTCAAGCGTGGTAGACAATATTGCCAATATTGTTGTGGTTTGCGATACTGATAAATTGCTTCGCGAATCGAAGAGTTTCAGATATGTCATATGTCGAATAGATTTAATCTGTGCGTTGTTTGTACTTCAATTTTGGCCACGAGGCACAAAGGGAGACTTAAAGAACACCAGTGACGAGCGTTAACACAATTTAACTACGTACAGTGTTGACAAAATTAAAAAATACAGGCTAACGAACAAAGCCACTTGTCGATCAGAACTAGCTTTGTAATAATGGCAACCGCTACTAAACACGCGAGAAAGCCTCGGATTTCTATTTGTATTATGAACTGTGATCACTGTATAAAAACGAGTGTTATGTGAACCTCTCCATTTGATAATATTTACTCTAACAAAATACATTGTAAACTCATCACTCGCTCCGACCTTCTACGGAATGGCGGCTATTTTTAGATATTTCGTAATTTTTGTAGTGCGTTGCGTACGGTGCACTGTGGATGTGCACACTTGTGTCGCCTAAGAAAAAAGATCTGACATTTTAATACTCCGGTACTTACAGTACCCGGAGTAATTAAGAATTTTTATTGTTCCGTGTTCCGGAATGATGCTGTTCCGGTGTTCCGTATATACTATAATATATGACAGGAAAAAATTATTTAGCGAAAATGTATTTATTTTGAGCTGTAAAAATATTTTTTGGTTAAAAATATTTATTTTAGTGCAGAAATATATATTATTTGTGCACGAGAAATATATTTTTACGTGTTGAAAGAAACATTTATGCATGTTGCAAAAATATTTGCACCATGCAAAAATGTTTATGAACGATACAAAAATATTTAACGCACGATGAAAAAATTATGCACGACGAAAATATATGTTTCACGTCGCAAAAAAATTATGCGCGACAAAAATATTTTCGTGTGATGCAAAAATATTTTCGTGTGATGCAAAAATATTTGTCGCACATTAGTACCCAGGCTCCAAACTTCGCAGACGATGCTTCCCCACGTGTTTTCTTTCAAAATGGCTACTCGTTGTGAGAGAAAATGCAAAACTTGCAACTCTCCTATCGAACTGGGATATTTATTTTGTCCTATTTGTGGAAATTCGGTAGTTAGTGTTAACAATGTCACTTCTAGCGGTTCGTCAGGAGAAACGAGTCAATCAAAAAGCAAAGGATTTTCTTTAGAAAGTTTCGAGAAGTTCAAGAGGCAGAAAGAAAGTCAACGCAGCTCTTTCTTTGTTCGAAAAAAAGGGCGCAAAAGCTCGTCAAAAGAGGATAAAGAAGTTGTTATCTACATTGGTCTGATGAAAGAAATGTGTCAAGTCAAACGAGGGGAATGGCTGCCTCTTAAAATCAAGTCAAGTGCTACAGCTGATGACATCCTGGAAGCTGCAATTCAGAAACATTCAACATTTAATAAACGATTTAATTCCAAACTGAAGTACAAGTTGGTATTCAAGGATGGCAGTGAGGTGTCTAACATCCCCGGCGGTGACCACGAAGAAAGTTTCGTATTGTTTACGTACAAAGAGTTATCTGGTTTTTCATATGGAAAAATTAAGTTATTCCTCATTCCTGAAATTACCAGTTTTCAAAATCGCATTGATCAACTGAAAAGCTGTCTTGAAGAGGCTGAAGATGATGAATTGTCGTCTGAATCAGAGGAACAGGCACTATTTCAAAACCCACTGTCTTGTGAAACCAATTCTGTGAATTCTTCCAATAATGACCATTGCATTACAAACCAATCCACAGAGACAGAGACAATAGAGATTCCAGATGAAGAGGCTATGGCCCAATCAGTGTTGGGGAATCCTCCAGAGAAGGATGGGGCTGCTATTAATATCAATGTCGAGTGTCCTTTGTGTCTTAAAATATTTCCTAACAAGAGGATATTTGTAACATTCCAATTATTACTCACATCCATCTTATGCCCTGATTGTTTATAGAAATTGAGGGGAAATGTGTTGCAGATCTGATGCAGTGGCTGACAGGAGGTAGAAAGATACCTGTTCTTGGTCTTGGAAAAAAAATAAAGTGCCTATTTTTGCATGTTTGCCAAGCTGGGTGTCGGTGTCGTCCAGTAGTCTCAACATGTGACTTGAGAGTCACGCTACCAGTGCATCTCAACAGTGAAGAAGAAATGGTTGAAATAATGACGTCAGCTTTAAAAGACTCGACAGGATTTGACTTGGTTTAAAGCAATCGACAAATTAAAATAGAAACAAGTTGGAATAATGATGACACAAGAGTACTTAAGTAAATTTGTGATAGTTGAGATTGACAGCGATTTCATATTTGTTTTCCTTTTTTATTCATGTTTGTTGACATTGAACAGACAATGTAATGATGAACAAATTCAATACTTTATGTTAACTTTGTACAATTGCATACAGTGTTTTGAACTGTAAATACTGTATGTGTTAAATATGCCATCTCAAGGTATTGTTATTTATGTTGTTTTGGGTGAGTGTAACTCACTCTTTAGAGAGTTGGTAGGCTGCCAGAACTCCACCAACTTCAGGCTGGCAAGAACTTATACCAAATAAAAATTATTTATATTCTAACACTGCTGCCGCTTTGACACTCAACAATTACAAAATAATATATAGTTTTAATCCTGAGTAACATATATATGTTTGAAGCATGACACCCCTGACAAGTTTAATCCTTAGACAGGGTAAACATATAAATACTGGAATTTAAATTTTTCACCTTTATAGTTGTTCAATTATGTGGCACCCAGTTCGCGTAAATTTCATGCATCAGATAGTGTCACTTGAAATGAACAATTTGTGATGAAATATCAAGACTGAAAATTGTCATAATAGAATGGACTTCAAATAATGTCATCCAACAGTGTACAGTTAATTTTATCCTCTTGCAATTTCAGTTAACCTTTGATACAACAATAAGCCTTCCCTCCAAGTCATAGGTTTCTGAAGATGTAAGCCTTCACACAAATAATTAAAGTATTCTTGGTACAAGTTTTCCTCTTCTTCATATTGCAGTAAATTGTCTGCAACAAATTGGATCTGAGAGAGAGATATCTGACTAAGGAGACCATCTTCACCTCCATGCAACTCTGGTATATAGAAAAGCTCATCGGGTCTACCACTTACAGTATCGTGATGGGACTTCCTAATGTAGTGGGTATTCCAATGTTCTTTAGTTATATCAAGATCTTTCTGGATAAGTGTGGAAAAACAGTACCATAAACACTCCATTTCCATTTCATTACCCAATGTAAGAACCTGTGTCTCTACCAAGTCCTTAAATAGGTTGATCCACCATGTTGAGCGATTTTTGCGAAAGAAGGACCACCACCCTTCGATGCGTTGATTTGCGACAGACTGTCCAAAACTATGTGCGTTTTCATCATTCCGGAATTCACACTGCATTGCTGTGATTATACCATTTTCTGTGCCGCAGTCTGATCGTACTTTAACTGGGCATCCTTCATGTTCAGCAACACACTCAAGATAAAAGGTTGCAGGAATTTCAGGTAGGTTGTTCGACCTGGCAACTCTCAGCCACATGATTTTCCTACTCCAGCCATCGATGGCACCATGAATAGGAAAACCATATGGCTTAAGTTTGTCATAACCATCCACATGCCAGGCATGGTTTGGTCCAGAGTTATAATACTGACGCCTTTTCAAGCATTTTCGCTTGCGCATCTCGCATCCTTCCGGATCTAGTTCCTTCAGTTTCTCTTCCACGACATGCCTGGGCACTTGAATGCCTTCTTTTTGTAAAGTATGCCAAACTGTACGGTAACCGGCAATACATCCAGGCCCATCCAGCAGTTGAACAATTCTATGATGGACGATTTCATCATCATATTCTACACCACGTCTTTTCAAGTTGTATTCTTTTAACCGTAACTTCAATGTACCGTACGAGATCGACAAATCGTGTCTTTTTTCCAGTATTTTAACAATACTTCGATAGGTGAATCCACAAGAAAAGTAATAACTTATAAGACCTCGTTCATCTAAACTTTCAAGAGCATCTAATTCGTTGAAGGGATCGTCACAGTTAGGGCAGAATCGATGGGAGACTTTTAAAACAAATTGGCAAGACTTACAACTCTTGTTCATGTCCGCCATATTTTAATGTCAATAATAAACGGTTTGGAGCCTGGGTACTAATGTGCGACAAATATTTTTGCATCACACGAAAATATTTTTGCATCACACGAAAATATTTTTGCATCACACGAAAATATTTTTGTCGCGCATAATTTTTTCATCGTGCGTTAAATATTTTTGTATCGTTCATAAACATTTTTGCATGGTGCAAATATTTTTGCAACATGCATAAATGTTTCTTTCAACACGTAAAAATATATTTCTCGTGCACAAATAATATATATTTCTGCACTAAAATAAATATTTTTAACCAAAAAATATTTTTACAGCTCAAAATAAATACATTTTCGCTAAATAATTTTTTCCTGTCATATATTATATTCATTTAGCTGTTGACTAAAATATTTGTCGTTAGCCTTGTGGGCCACCGTACACTGGCATACAGTCGAAAACGAGAAAACCAACAATTCCGAAGTTATCAAGGATCAAATGGACTGCATTTTTAATTACTCGCTGGGGCACCTGTGCCCGGGCGAGTATAGGTTTCGGCAACCTCGTCCCCAGGGCCTATTGAGGAAGGAGGCGAAGCAGACTAGTCCCAAGTCCTCTGTGCACGCTTTTGGTTTCCGTGACGTCACCGAGCGAAACGCGCGCAAGAGGACTAGCACAAAACGTTTTCTAGCCTGCAAAGCAGGTGCTTGCGGGCTTGGTAAATCCCGTAAATGTTTTCCAATATGGCGGAATTCCAGAATTTATAAAATTGTATAAACATGGAAGATTAAGAATATGCAGAATATTTACAGGTAAACGTGAGTATTAAAGATATTATGGTTGTACAATGTAAATAATAAGGTATTATAATAACTTCTTTCAGGAATGACGTAAATTTAAAGTAAATTGTAACATTTTTTGACTATTAGTAGCACCCTGATCATCATCTGTTGACTGAGTTCACTAAGTGCATCTCACCCGATAGAACTAACTGTTGAAACTTCAAAGGTTTTGTAGATAAATATTTTGAGTGTAAAGTTTATACATTTATGAGTCCTGACCAAGGGCAGTTGTGAAAAATGCAACTACAGGCCCTCTGGCAGGAATCCAACCAGCTGCACCCTTACTTTTGTATATATACATGAACGTGTGGTTAGAGCTTGACACCTGGACTTTGTAGCTTAGTTAGTTAGAGCACTGGACCAGAATCGCAGAGACACAGGTTTCATTCCTGCTAGATGGGCTATAGATGCATTTAAATAGAGAGATTTATGCCCGTATTCTAAAAGCTCACTCACACTCGATGAGTGGAGGTTTAATCTGGGCTTCTCTTGAGTGTCAATGCTGTTTTGGAATAGAGAAGGTAAGTAGTCACTGAGTACGAGGTGACACTAGCCCTCCAGCAGTTCAAAAATAACATTGACACTCAAGGCAAGCTCAGATTGAACCTCCACTTACTGAGTGTGAGTGAGCTTTTAGAATACAGGTTATACAGGTATTAAATGGTGCACTGCCAGGACAATTTGCCTCTTTTGTTCACAGAGATGTGGATTCATTTGAGCATAAAAGGCAAATATTGCAGTAACAATATCCACAGCAATAAAGAGTACTTGTATTGAGTATTAATATTATTATGATTATATAGTGATTTGATGCAGGTTGATGGTAAAGTGTACAAAGTCATTTTTCTGGAAAAAGCAACCATCACTGAGTGCAATATAAAAATTAAGCAATATTCCAGTGACATGTATCACAAGAGATATCTGTTGAAGAGGGCTTGGATTGGTTTATTGCCTTTCTCACCTTCAAGTGATTTGCAACCTGTCATGGAGAAAGTTTTTGGATATTTTACATGTATATAAAAAAAATAATAATTGTAATAGATGCTTTCTCTGCAGAGCAACTAATAAAAGATGATGCTTTGGGGCTTATTTCTGCTTACTGGAGCTGTAATAATATCATATTCAACAATTTAATAAATTAAAAATTCAATAATAATTTTAATAATAATAATAATAAATTTCATCATAATTTTATTACAATAAATACATTTATTATTATGTATTAAATTAACAATATTAACCTCCAAATTTTATTCTATTCCTGTTCACATGTGCCTGCCTGGAGTGTTCGTGTTGAAATTGTTGCTTCAGTTTTCACATACTAATAAGAATTAGATGCTGTACCTTGTGAATGTTCTAACGCAAACTAGTTCGAACAAGTAACATTTGAATATAAACTAGGTGTTCCCGGAAGTCCAACAACAAGCCATTGTTGGGTGGTGATCAGGTGAATCTTGTTTGAAAATATTACAAACATGACACTATGCAGACTGCAGTTCGGGCATTTCCTGACTTGACGAAATAAATGAACAGCAAAATTATGTACATCCATGTTGTCCAATATGTCTTTTGCCTGAACTTTGTCACTCACAAATACCACTTTCACCAAATTCTTCAAATATGACCTTGTTTAATTATATGTTTTCTTGACAACTGTCCCTGTATATGCCTGTATGGCACCATTTAAATTTTCTGCCACAGGTAAAACATTTCAATTCCTAAACATCAAACAAAAATTATAAAATCAAAATTGTTGGCAAGTACATAACAGATCTATATTTTGATCTATAAATTCGCAAAGCTCGCAAATATTCAAATATTCTTGTTAACACAGGTGAATACATGCATTTCAATAGTGCATTGATAAATATCATTACTATATTTACCATGTATTTAGTTAATATTCTACATTTATACAGCAGAGGTATCCCAGGATATCGATAAATAAATTCTCACCTTCTATATTTAAAAATATTTCTCACCGATTTCTTGTTTTTTGTTAGCATCGATTCCGCTTTACTATAGTGTCTTTTCAGTATATTAATTTATGTACCACTGCTTCTATTCAATATATATTAAAACCACAAAATTTTAATCCAACTTGTCGCAAATATAAAAGTCAATTTGATACAAATCTATAAACATTTTACTCGCTCATGAGAACGGCGCCATTTTCGCAAGCCACTGATCTCAATACAGCAAGTGGGGACACTTTGTCTCCACTTTTGGCTCACTTGAAACATTTTATTCTAGGCCTCTCAGGAGCCGTCACCTCATTAATATGCAGAAACGCGCAATAGGCGAACTAAGAGGCCTAGGGACTAAACTGACTGTAGGGAGCCACGTTAAATGACATTTATTTTGCTGTAAAAGCCCGTTTGATTTCTTGCTCTCGTGATATTCGTCGCATTCGTCCGTTTTGCATCCCAGCGATTTCGAAACAACCAATAAAAACAAGTTTTCGTGTTGTTCAAATCATTATTTTACCGTCTATTTATAACAATGCTGTTCACGGTTGTTCGAACAACTAAAAACAACTTGTTCTTTCATCAATGTTGTTCACGCCTGTTCGAACAATATTGTTGACGCCTGATGAATGAACAACGCTGAACAACATTGTTCTGACAACATTTATCAAGCATGTTTCATCAACCTTGTTGACGCTTGCTCCATCATGTTGCAACAACCATTGTTCGTTCATCAAGCGTGAACAAGTTGTTGGAACAATGTTGTTAACGATTGTCGCTTGAACAACGTTGTTCAGGCATGATAACCTCATTGTTGCAACGTTGTTCAGCGAACAATGTTGCAACAACCTGATCAATTTTTACGCGTGTACACGGCTAAAAACGCACAGGTTGTTGCAAGTTGATATCGACAGGCGTGAACAAGGTTGTGCGGCCAACTATGAACAAGTTGTCAACCATGTTGTTCCAAGTTGTTACAGTTGAACAATGTTGTAACAACATGTTGACAATACTGTTCATAGTGGGCCGCACAACCTTGTTCGCGCCTGTCGATATCAACTTGCAACAAGTTGTTGATTTTCTCAATTTTTACGCGTGTATAATGACACAACGCTATTGTGATGTTACACGTACTTCATGTAATACAAATTATAGAGGTTTTACTGTACATTGAAGCATAGCATGTCAAAGCATTGCATTTTAAGGCAAATTGTATGGATTTTTTTAAATAAAAGACCTTTTCGGGAGACCTATGGATAATATAGACTTTGTTCTTCATGTTCAAGTCTTTCCTATGCATTGTTTACGAAAGTTTCTTAGTTAAATTAACTTTTGTAGAAGTTCATGATAAAAAGGATAGCAAATTATTTTCATTAGCGTCCAGTACAAATTAAATTTGTTTCATTTCAAAGTGCGAGTAATAGGCCTATGCTTGAAGCTCGAGTTGAGAAGTTTATAAATATCGGCAAAAAGCAGTTAATTTCAATTCCCATTTAAAAACGTTTTACGTAGAGTTTCGTTTTGAATTTTACATTAAAATAAAGCCCATAGAAGCCAAAATATTATACCTACTTTATATGTTTTAGAAATTGATAGTTCCGTATTTAAAAGTGTTTAAATTTTATCTATTTTTCCCAGTTTGTACAAAAAAATTAAAAAACAATTATCGTGTTGCCATGACAACGCAAGCCTGCGTTCAGTGTTGGCGTAACTACGAATACTTCATGTTGACACAATGTTTGGAATATATAAGATATAGGCGAGGGGTGTTGCATGCATGTATTTCTAGTTTAAGCTATGACTTACAAGGCCTACATTTGTTTGTATATTTTGTCATTTTGATTAACCAAAGCGGCCAAAGTTTATTATCGCGCTAGAAGTTTCCCTTTCATCGCTGCTTATGTGTTGTGTGAGAACGATCAAGTTGCTATTACGTATATTAAAGAATTGTAAGAGATCCTAAAGTAAACGCAAAGTTTGAACGAGAGATGAAAAATATCCTTTTTAACTTCATAAGCAGAGCTTCATAAGTAAGTTTGTAAAAACAAAGAAGCCAATCAACAGTTGTCCCCGAGCCGACGGCGCGAAGCGCAGTGCGGGGACACTAATTCCCCCCGGCTATTTACACCCGGAGAAACGAAAGCATTGGCGAAGTCTAAAGTTCATCAAATATCGCAGGCGTGACCAACGAACTTGAGTGGGTGGTCATCCTCACTGATAACGCTGTATAGTGTCCTACAGTGTCGTATAGCATTATATATTGTTGTACATGTATAGTCTTGTATAACGTTGTATAGTGTCGTATGGTGCCGTATAGCCTTATATAGTGTTATATAGCCTTGCATACTGTTGTATAATGTTGTATAGTGTCGTTTAGTGTTAAGCCTGGTTCACATTCATCGTAAACATCGGCGATGCCCATTGTCGCTGGTCATTGATGCATAAAATGTTTTGTGAATTTTCTTCTTCGTTGCTCACAGACAATGGATCGTAGAACATTGCCGATCAATGTAAACGAGGCTTAATATAGCCTTATATAGTATTGTATAGTCTTGTATAGTGTTGTATAGCTTTATATATTGTTGTATAGTCTTGTATAACGTTGTATATAGCATTGTATAGTGTCGCATAGCCTTAGTATAGTGTTGTATAGTTTTTATAACGTTGTATGTGCTGTATAGTGTTGTATAGCCTTACATATTATTGTATAGTGTCGTATAGTGTTGTATAGTGTTGTATAATGTCGTATAATCTTGTATAATTAACATTGTGTAGTATCGTATAGCCTGATATAGTGTCGTATAGTGTTGCATAACGTTGTGTAGTGTTGTATAGTCTTCTATAGTGTAGTATAGTGTCATGTATAAATCTTGTATAGTGTCATAATTTTTATAGTCTTGTATAACATTGTATAGTGTCGTATAACCTTATATATTGTTGCATAGTCCTGTATAACTTTGTATACTGTTGTATAGTGTCGTATAGTGTTGTATAGTGCTGTATAGTGTCGTATAGCCTTTATATATTGTTATATAGTCTCATGTATAACGTTATATAGCCTTGTATAACGTTATATAGTGTTGTATAGTGTCGTATAAGTAGTATAGCAACTAGCGTAGCGAGACCACTAGCTTTTGAGCGGGACCACTAGTTTTTTTCTTTGGTGAAAATTAATAATTTATTTTTTTATTATATTAAATGGTCTCGCTACACTTCAGCAGTTTTATGAAGGGGGTCCATTTAATTAGAATGTGGAACTGCTATTCTTGTTTTTCATTTAACTTATTTCAGAGCTTCGGGATCACCTTACCAGTCCAGCTGAGACTCTAATACGATTATCCTACACTTTTCCAATATCATCCAATTCCTTTATTCCAGAGCCTCTTCGACATCTTTTATTTTTTCCTTGGGGGTACACAAGGCAGGGGGCCCTTGTGGTCCGGATATACTGTTGGCATCATTCTTTTCACCCTGTGTGGTCACTTCAACCTTAATATCATTGGATACAGAGAAATTTATATCACCAACCTTCTGTAAAAACTTTTCAATCAACCCTGCAATAACTACCTTCCGTACTTTCTCCTCCTTGATACCGGGGTTTTTAAGTAAACCTTAGTTTCCTTCGGGAGTATGTCCTCATTGTTTTTAATCCACAGAATATTTGTTATGGTTCTTCTTAACGGATGTAACATCGAACACTTTTCCCTTACCCTCTCGAAAATCATATAGTCTGCTTCTTCCTGTGAGGATTCACCAGGTAGCCTTCCAATTCTTATCAGTTCTTCTGGTTCAGGTTTTTCTTCAACTGTTATTTTCAGGGCTTCTCCCTGTGGGAGTTCGGTAGGTAGACTTTCAACTCTTATCAGTTCTTCTGGTTCAGGTTTTTCTTCAACTGTTATTTTCAGGGCTTCTTTCATTGTTAGGTAGTGTCCGTAGGCGTAACTGGTAACTCCATCCTCCAAAAGATACCTTTTATCATCGAAGCAACTTAGAGTAATCTTCCTCATTTCATAAGTTCCAATTGTATGTTTTGTGCTCCTGATTGTATTCATGTTGTGTCTCATCCTACCTTTCGTGTTGATTACATTCTTGAAGTTCTCATGAGTGAGCTTGTTTTTGATAACATACTTTTTAACTCCTTTGGCAGTCATTCCACCTCCACCATTTTCCTTAACATAGGAGTACATTTTTGATCTTAACCCAACAAACTCTATTATGGGTACTCCTTCAGCTTCATCCTTAAACTTACCTATAACCTTCTTGTTGTGGGTTGAGTAGTATGGAGAATCTTTTGGGTAATCTGAATTATCCCAGCAATCCTGCTCCTCACCGATCCTCTTGAAGTCCTCATAGACATCATCCGTCTTTAGTTCGTACATCAGACTGTCAGTATCGGTGAACAGCAACCTCGAACTATTACCGTACTCCTTCTTAATGGTGTTGTAGTGGAAATCGTACATTAACGTCTTGGATAAGTCTAAGATGCTCATTCCTACGTAACACGGCTTATTCAGCGTTAGAACTTCCTTCATCCTTTTTACAACTATCAGATCCTCATTCATAATTCTGTATGACTGGAAGCTGGGTGATGCTGTCAGTTTGAGAAGATCATCTTTTGAAGATACTAATTTGACATCAACCCTTTTTCTTAGATTTTCCATTGTCTTTCCATAGATTGAGTTGTTCATTAGCTTGAAGAAGTTCTTTTCGAACGTGTTACGGGCTGCAGACCTTTTCTTTGTATTGAAGTCTATATAGTCCTTAAGCCAGGGAGACTGCTTGAATGTAACCGCCCTATGAACCTTCGTGAGTTTCATCCCAAGGTCTGTGTACAGTTTCAGATTACGCACATGTAAGACGTACTTCTTCCTGGGTCCTAGTGAAGTCACTAGTTTTCTTACTCCTCCAATTGTCAGTTGGAATTTCTCAGCAATACTCTTCGCATGATCTGACAACATAGATGCACTGATTTCCTTACTCTCCGGTGCTAGAGGATAACCGTTGTGTAGGTCGTGAAGTTCTTGTGGATATTCCAGGTCAACCTCTAAGACCATTCCCCTGTTGCTGTCTTCCAGGTAATCATCCAGATTCATACCATCAACTTCCTCAACCCACTCGAACTCTCCGTTAGGTAGTGGTTGTGACATTGCCCAGCCATATAAATTATTAGCGTCGAGGTACATTAGGTACTTGTTCTCAGACGACTCATCGTACGTCTCCATGTACTTATTATTAGCTGCTAAGTGTCTATGAGCAATATAACTTGTACCACCTCTCATACCCTTCTCGAAGAACTGCAACATATCCATATCACTTACAAGTTCTATTTCTTCACCTGACTTTTTCAGGAAAGCGTCCCAACTCAGACCAGGTGCTGACACGTAATGTGCGGGGTCAAGTTCATAACTTTCCAGACATGTTCTCCTGAAGTTTTCAAACACATCATCCAGCAGAAGAACGTCAGTCTCCAAGTAGAGATCGTGGTAGTCTTTCATGGTTTTCATCTTGAAGTGATCCCATACTTTCTGAGCTCTCTGTTAATCTTCTTCCTTCACCTCTGACTCATACAGTGAAGAGTAGAACTTATCCTTACTCGGAAGACCTTCTGTATTAAGTTTGCTAATATCATCTAGGAACTCGTATGGGAACACTCCTTTTTGTGTCACTAGATTGAAGTCCTCACCCTTCCACCTCTTACCTACTATCCTGAAGTCCTCAGGTGAAAGGTTACTCACCAGTGCTTCCAGTGAAGAAGCCATGAACTGTATAGAGTCTATGAAGACCAGATTTTTACCCAGTGAGAATGAGATGTATTTTTCCATATTATTTGGGATCATGTTAACGTTCATCTTAAACTTACCAATTTCCTGCATAATCAGATGGCTGTCGTAACCTCTCAGGTTGTGGAAGACCACAGGTACTTTCCATGTAATTCTGTACTTCAGATTACATATATTATGAGCAGCTCCACGGTACATTCCTGTTACATGGTCATGATCCCTTACCCTATCCTCGCCAAGGTCGTTACCGCATATTGAACAGTTTCTTGCAGCCTGGAATTCGAATTCCTGTTTGGGTGTAATTACCATCTTTTTCTTGAATATATTGTTGACCATCTCTCTACATCTGAAGGACTCTTTCAATACAGTCTTTAGGAATACCAATGCAGCATCCTCTCCAACGTAACTCTTATACTCACCGGAGTACTTATCATCATAGTGGCAGACAGTCTTCAAACCAAAACTACAAGCCTTGTGTGTCTGGTAAAGATCTGTACTACTTTCATCCTGAGGGTTCTTTGACTTCTCTTTTCTCTCTTCTGGTACTAGTATGGACTCAAAATCAGCGTATATCACAAACGGCACAGGTATTGAGTTCCTGTGATTTTTGAACTTGATTTTTGTCCCTTCCTTGGGAAGCTTTACAGCCTGGGTTCCGTTTAACTCCAGACATGTTTCCTTATGCTTTTCCAGTACCTCTTCACTCACACAACTATGAAGACAGTGTAGACAGAAGTGCTTCTTATGTGTATGTTTACTTACACTGAAGAGCATCCTGTTTACATCCTTTATGAGCACATAATGGTTGTTACCTTTACCATCACCTAGGAGTAGAAGTTCCATATGATCCTCATATTTAGCCTTGGAGTTCCTTATAGGGTAGAACTGTTTCTTACCCTTATAACCAAACACAGATATGCTGATACTGTTTTTCCTCTCAATTCTATCGATGTCACTTATCTTCACAGGGAAGTCTATACCGTTATAGTCCAGGTTCGTTATGAATTCCCTATCTTTCTGTGTGATAGTGGTTGCTCTTCTAGCCTTAGGATTCAGATGTCTCACATGACTCCACAGGAAACACAGGTTGTCGTTGTTCTTCATATTGATGAGCCCACACTTTGAATTACTAATGTCCTTAGGAAGTTCTATGTATGAACTACCCTTTAACGGTTTGTACATTGCAATGTTTACGTAATGACTCTCAATATTGAGTATAATCCAGTTTGAACCCAGGTTTTGGAAGGTTTCAATTCAAGACAATATTGTCAGTTGGTTTTGAGCAGCTGTACTTTCAATATCCTTGAAGTTAGTTGCAGTACCAGTCTTAGATTTGAAGTAGACTGAGTCCTTTTTGGTTTTCCCATCACCAGTTTCCTTTGACATTCTCACCTTCAGAGTCTCTGTGTACTTCAACCCACCCATTCTCTTTAACTCGTTCACAAGTATTCCTCTCACTACCTGTCTACTTGCAGTCATCTGGTCCAGAGGGTCCATATAGTGAGGGGTTATCGAGTAAGTCACAGAGGCTCCATTTGCGGCTGTTTCGATTTTCCTATGGAAGGGCTTTTCTAGGTATGTTCCGAATGGATCTATTTCCTGTTCCTCTGGTGTAACCACTGCAGGTTGCTCCTTAACTTCCCTTGACACCTTTACAGGCTTGCGTACCTTTTGGGGAGACACTACTTCTCGAGTTCTAGGCTTAGGTATAGGTCTTTCCTTAGGAAGTACCGTTCTAGGCTTAGGTATAGGTCTTTCCCTAGGAAGTACCGTTCTAGGCTTAGGTATAGGTCTCCATGGAGCTACACCCTTAGGTACCTCAGGAGCTTTCCTCACTGGTCTCTTATTAAGATCCACGTGAATTGTAAACTTACCAGGACCTGTTGGGGTTATGACACTATCGGGAGGTACAGAGAGTTTTACCTTCCTTTGATTCAGGAATCTTTCAGCTACAGTTTGCTTCCTGACCTTAACATTAGCCTTTACCTTTGGTGGTCTACCTCTCTCTTTAGGAACCTTCACTTCAGCGTCAACCTTTACCTTTGGTGGTCTACCTCTCTTTTTAGGAACCTTCACTTCAGCGTCGCTCTTTACCTTTGGTGGTCTACCTCCAGGACGCTTTATCTTAGGATTCCTTTCGTTTTCAATCCTCTTAATTTCCTCATTTACTTGGGGATCATCTGTGCGCCATCTACCTCCCATTGTTGGTGGCAGTCCTTGGACTCCCTTAGATAGTAAACTCTGGTATGCCTCCTCTACAAGTAGCGCCTTAGCCTTTTGTCTGTCGGACTACTTCCATGTTGGCATAATTCCTCTTCTACCCTTATAGTTTTTAGGAATACGTCTTGGTTTCTTTGTTTCCATATCACGGTCAACTTCATCTACGAATTGTCTTTCTCCCTGGAATGGACTCTCACCCTTGTCATCAGGAGCAATCCTGTAGTTTCTATCCTCCAAGATGTCTTCTACTCTTGTATCCACATCCTCATCACTGTCTATGATACTGTTGAGAGCCAAAAGTTGTTCTACACTGAATTCGTTCATGTTAAAGTAACTCGCCATATATTCTAACAGTTTCTATATACTATATATGTAAAAATAAATTGAGGTATTTAATTAATAATTTATTACCAATTAAATACCTCAATTATTTTCCCATTAAATTAATCATTTATTTTTATTATATTAAAATTAATCATTTATTATGTTAAAATTAATTATTTTTATTTAATTCAATTAATTTATTATATTAATATTTCTTTAAGTGTTTTTACTTTTCCAGTTATTATAATATTCACATTTCTCAGGTTTCCATCCAAGCTCAACAAAAACTTTCCCATACAACCTATCCTCAAGGATGTCCACAATCCTTTGAGTCTTAATGTCCTCAGGAGGGTTTCTCAAAGATATACCATTCATACTGGCTATCCTCAGTAGGTAAAACTTGTATCTGACTATATTGCGCCCCCTCTGCAGTTTGAGTCTTTGCATGCATCTTACGATGCTTCTGAACTGCTCCCTTATTATATCCCTATCCCTAGAAGCAACATGTTCGAACAAGTGTCTCTCAAACCAACGGACTCTATTGTGACAAGACTTCTTTTTCAGATAGTCGTCCTTGTTGTAGTTGTAACTAACGTAGTATGAGAAGTTATTCGTATCACTAGCACCACACTGTGTGCATGTATCTGCTCCATCTATCATTACAATAGACTTACTTCCATATTCACTACATATTGGATCATATGTATGTTCTCTCTTTATTCTATTCTCTGCGTGCTTCCTAACAGCAGCCTCTAACTCTTCCAGTGTATTTACCCTTTTACCTACACATGCTATCTCCTCAGGTGTTACCATCTGCAACCATTCCATTTCCCTATACTTATAGCTGTGAAAATTTTTATGGCATTTTCTATAGAATTAAATAAGCTGCCCCTCCAACCACCCCACCTGTAATTAAACCAAAGATTGCCATATATTCTTCCATTTCGGAGCTAGGTTTGTAGTGATTACTCAATTGCGGCTTCCCTAGCATAGGCTTACGTTTTAGCTCATTGATTCTTCTAACGAGTTCTAATGACTGGTTCGTTGATTTAATATCCCCATTTGCATCAGCTAGTTCTGACTTCAGTTGGGCAATTCTATTTCTCCTATCAGTGAC